TTCGTGATTAAACTATCACCTTTATTTCATATAAAACTTTTGAATACTTTCGAAAAGATACAGTGTTCATTCGAAAAAAAATAACATTCCGGCTTTAGATACTTTTAACAATAAACATAGGCCCAAAGTTATACCAACAGACTAGGTTAAGTAAAGAAAAAAAAAAACCTTCGTCTGAAATCCTTTTGAAAATTTTTTAAAAAGTAATTACTGTATTAATTTTTTATATATTACAATATTTAATCCTTTTCTCCCCCCTTTTTTTTTTTATGAATTAGCCCTTTTCTCTCTTGTTCTCTTTTGTGTGGATTTCACCCACCTTAATTATTCAATTTTTATCGTTTTTTCATAAATCTTTTTTTCTCTCTTTTCGAACCAACATTTCTTTATTTCAGTTCATTCATTAGGCCTATTATAATAATCATTTTAAGATTTCATATAATGAAAAAATGAGCCTTGATAGGCAAATCATCCATAAATAATTCAATAATAATAATTTTATCATTTTTTTTTGTATTTTATTGCTCTCATAACTTAATGAGAATGCTAATTCATATGTAATTTATGCGCTGACATTGGTGACGGTCCAATGTAAGTTGAACATTTACTGAGATCGTAAGGCTCTTTCCAATTTATGAGGGTCAATCAATGACCCCCTCTTACGAGCATGAAGTGTTACTTCATAAATTCAGAAGTTAAAAATAGAAAATCAATTAAAATCTTAATCTGCATTTAAACTACAGGACACTTAACTACCAATAAAATTACAATATTAAAATTGTGAGATAAAACGATAATCTTGTATAAAATTCTAGTAAAACGATTAAAGATGTTTCTTAAATTTAGTTTTCAAATTTGCTGGAGTATTTGTTTCTTTGAAGTCACTACAAAGGCGTATAGGTCCTTTACACCAAATTGTAAAACAGGTAAAATTAAGATTTTTTGTTTAGATAAAATATTGCAGTTAAATCTTGTTTTCATAATTATGGTCGTCACAGTGTTATTTTAAAAAGTGAATTAAAACGTGGGATAAAACTATAAATTATACATAAAGTAGCCAAGTTGATTTGTCTTAGTTTAAATATTTTATATTTAGAAAAGTTTTGGTCAGTTGAATCCGTTCTAATCTTACGATTTCACCAGTATTATTGTTTACGTATAAGAAGATGGACTTTTATTGTTCGACAACTTTAGATCTCATTTACTGTGTTTTCTCATTTACCGTGTTTTACTATATAAAAAAAAGAAGTAATTAATTTTATAATGCTTATATTTCATCAGCGTCTGCCACTTGTTTTCATTTAGGCTATCGACTATTGCTGACCACAAGTATTCGCAGGTCAGAATATTTTTGTGCAATCCGCCTGTTACAGAACTTTTACCTTTTAACATAATTGTTATCAATAAAATGTATAAATTTTGGTAAAACGATCTCTGCATTTTTGTGTGGCCTATTATATATGAACCAATCAAGTCAGCCTAACGGTAATACTTTTAAAATTGACATTCTGTTTTTCCTTTCTCTGCTATTTTTATAGTTATTAAAAACTTGCTCCCCGTTAAATACTTCTCCCTCCTCGTCTCAATTCCTTTTCTTTTCTCAGGTATTCTCGACACACAATCTTAATTTCTGGATCAAACTTTATCTATACCCTCTCCATGTCTCTAAATTCCATCAAAGATGCAATTTAGGTTATAAATTAACAACTGGGCATCATCCAATGTACTTATGTGTGCAGACCACCAGGACTTTATAACGGAGTAAAGTTTTTACCACATTATACCCTTTACTTTATTGTTGATTATGTTGGCAATTAGAACCTTAGCAGAGTAAAGTCTCTCTACCTTGATGTAATTTGATTAGTGTGAGGCAATCCAGGTCACTAGGACCACCTTAGTGGAGTAACATACCTACCCCAAGGCAAGGTGCAAAGCTGCACTAGGGTAAGGTATGCGGGTCAATAGGACCTTTAACAAGGTAACAGCCCTATCGCATGATTCCTAGTTCGTTCGGGTTATGTGAGTTAATATTGTGTGCTGGTATATATTCCTGTAATGCTATTATTGCTCTTGTAAGCGACAAATTATTTTTAGACTTGAGAATGGGATTATTTTGTTTAATGGTCATTGGTCATATACTTATAGGCCTGAACTTTAATGATAATGTCCAACCTGTTCTTCAAATTTAGTTTAGATTTGTATACTCTTTACCGCACCCACCATTTTGTGAGTCTAGTTTCACTATTCGATTTCTCAAGACTGAAAAATCAGTTCATATTTTTGTCTTCTTCAAATGATTATGTTGTGATGTTTTGAATTAGATTTTTTCCCATCATTAAATCATTAATCTATTTATATTCATTGAAATAATACATGAGACCGAATTATTGAATAATAAAATAAACACCAAGCAATTGTTAAATCCAATTTATTCAAATAAGGTTCCTTTTGAATGCTATGATTTTGCAAAACACCATCTGGAACATTTCAAGGACAATATGTTGGTTTTTAATCAAAACACAAATAATAGGCTTTCTCATAATTGTTTGAATATATCATATAGTATCTGTCTCTTATACACATCTAGATGTGTATAAGAGACAGTATATATACAGTAAAAAAATACTTCGCGAAATTGTAGAAAGCTTCATGTTAACTTCATCAGTTACTTACCAGACAATCATGAATAGCTACCGGAGCTACCAAAAATACTTCATATACAATAAGGGTGTTTGCAAGTATCGGGCAAGGCCTTGGATATTTAATTAAATCAAACATTAAAAAGGAAACTGCGTCCATAATTCTTCTGATGTGCTCAGAAATATAAATAAATAGTCTTTAATACCACATGTCCAAACGCGAGGGCCCCTCGGCCCCCGGCACAACGTATAATTACTAGACTGTTAACAAATCACAGACCCTTGAACATTGATATCATTCGCTGACCATTGTTTCTATCTTATCTATTTGTTTATGTAATGCTTACAGTTAGTTGTAACTGACGTGACGTATTATATCATAGAGAAAATAGAACAGTTCTATTTTCTCTATGATTATATAAAACAATATATAGAACAATATATTTTGTGGTAACGATATATAGGCCTAATATATATATATATATATATATATATATATATATATATATATATAGATTAAAAGGCAAAATACTGAAAAACAACAATTCTGTGGGAAACAATGGCTGGATCTTGGTAGAGATACAAGTTTAATAAGTAACAGCTAAAAAGTAAACGTAAGTAAACAGACAGAAATAGAACCAGAGCTTTGTCATTTTTGTAAAAATTGGAACAGCACTAATCCTTGAAGCTCTCAAGCGTATATAGGTAATAGACCTTTTTGTGTTATTCAGTTTTAATTGAAATTTCGCTAACACTTACGTGAAAACATTTACCTAAAAAATATAGTTTAAAATGTTATCATATTAATCTAAAATACGATATATATTGGCACTCATGTAAATATATTTTACAGAAGTAATATTAATAAAATTTGGTAAATATTATGAAACGTCAAAAGCATTCATTTAATTTGTTACATACTAAGAAAAATAGTAAGAATCATTAGTGTAAAAAGCATTGTATACACGTTGACGCGTTTCATTCAGAATACTGACGCGTTACATTGGCACGTCTTTCTTGTGTATGTCAGTAAAGTATTTAAAGTTCAATAACTGTATAAAACACAACACAATATTACTTCGGTATGAAAATATACTGCACAGATAAATAAGACTTTTACCATTTGTATGCACGGTAGTTATGAAGGTATTGCTGATAATGGCTTGAACGCTTAACTAATGACTAAGAACAAGGCAGTCGTACATCAAGCCTTAAAAAAAACTTGTGTATAAGAAAATACAAACACTATTAATAGTGTTGCATCAGCTTAAAGATATTACAATGAATATTAAACAACACGAAGGAATGTCGTTATCATATCATAAAATCGATAAAGATAAAGATAGTTTTTCTAGATTTAATACATTTTTGTAATATAATTCTTAAATTTTTTATTAGCGAATAAAATAAAGAAAAAACAAGGAACGGTTAAAATAAGAACATATGGACGGTATTATTTTTTAATCATCGAGAATATTATTTTCAATTGATTACATAAAACGTACGCAATTCAGTTGTTGAAATGTATGTTTTATTGTTTTTTTAACTCTGAAAACAAACAGTACTATATTTTAAAATTTGAATTAATATATAGACCTACGACATATACTTTGTATACCGTAGACTGATTGTATGCGAAAATGTTAAAAATTTAAGTTAAACTAACATTCAGAGTTTTACAATAAACAATTCAATTTTGTTTTTTCATACTCTCTGTACCTGCTATTAATATTTTCTCTCTTATTCTAAATAATGTTTCCCTTTAACGTAAAATTGCAAACTAAATTCGAAAGTCTTTGGAATTCGTAACTGATTTAAGCCTTGCGTGCTCTACCTCGGCCGGCCATTGGCTTATGAAATAGTTCGCACTCTGCGCGAGCAGTGCACGGTTTAACGCCAGTCCGTTTACTGTTGGTGGCACTCCGTGGATCGTCAACAAAAAACGGTCTTTTAATCGTCAGGATGTCGCGTCGTGCTCTCACGGAACTGTGTCAGCTGCTGCTGCCAACGCCGACGCAGAGCGAATCTGGCTTTGTGTTACAGTTACCAATCAATATTGTCATTTTTATTATGGTACTTTTAATCTAGTGCAAGAATGTTTGAAATATCTTGTTTCAGATTCTCTAGAAACAAAATGTAGACGTATTTCGTTCTTTACCAAAATCGGGAATAAGTTATCATTATAATGAGTATCGGTCTCAACAGAAAATGTTTGTTATCCAATCAAACAAATATTGAGTTTGACAGACAAAAATCTGATATTATATCCCAGGCTTTAACGATATTATTGCTACATACTGTATTCAGTGTATGTCAATGCTGTCTCTTATACACATCTAGATGTGTATAAGAGACCTGACAAAGAATGAAAATAACTCAGCCCCCACCAGGACACGAACCGGAGACTTTTCGCATACATGGTGAACGTCATAACCACTTGACCACGCAGGGATTGTGGTGATTCAAGCACCGGTAGAAATTCCTTTCATTCAATGAACGTGTCTGACGTCACGATGTTGATATATTAGCTCTAATATCGCACGTGACTAGAGACTGCCAGAGATCTATAGGATAGCCCTCTTCTGTGCATTATTTTTTTTATGTACTGGTATATAAAGTGACTTAGGCATATGGAAAATAACAGAAACAGCAATTATATAGATTTAAACGAAGAGAAATCTGACAAAGAAAGAAAATAAAACTCTGCCTCCACCAGGAATCAAATCCGGGACCTTTTGCATACAGCTATATATTCATACATAAATCATATGTAATATAGGCCTATTATATATAAACTAATATACACATATTATTTATTGAGTGTGGGTGTGTGTTGAGTAAAGTTGGTATAATATATTTATATTAATGATTATATCTGAACAAACAAATGAATGTCAACCTCAGAACATAATTCTATATACATATAAATTATAATATACATTATATTAAAATATATTTTGTACGCATATATTCATGGTGATAAAAGCATGTATTCAAGGTGTTTCAATCACTAACTATTAGACAGGAAATTAAATTCTTCCTATTATAAATAATGCAGACAACGCAACCCTACCTCGTTTGCATAGATCAAATTCCTTTTATGTTCATATTCTCAACTTCCGTTACACTGTTCGTACAACGTGTGTTGCCGTTTAATGGTTTGACAATGTTTACTCTCTTTCGTCCGTTCGATTTACTTCATTTCATTCGATTTTAAAATACAATTTCCACAGAAAGCTCTTCCGAGCTTTCAAAAAAGCACCCCAATTATCCTCTTCATTTTTTTGAAATGTAATTATAATTCAAAGTGTTTCTTTTTTAATAAGGAGGTGTTAACAGTTATCAAACATAGTGCGACGCAAATGATTTCTTACGTCGGTCAGAATGTCGTTTTCGTCTGCCATCATGATCACCAATGATCTCCGTGTCAATTGCATCAGTATCAACTGCGTAGGATCCAGAGCTTCCCGATCTACTGTGCTGGTAGCCATTCGTAAATCGTGACATCGAGTACATTTCATGTAAATTATTACTCCGCGCAACAGCCTCTGTTGACAACTGGTCACCGTCATAAAAACCTCTGTAACTGGGCCGTGTATGCCTTTCAGAATTATATGTACTTTCTGAAAAGCTATTCCAACTGCCTGCGTAAGACTCATCTAGATCGCTAGACGCCACGTAACCATAGTTTATAGCACTTTCCAGCGACAATTCTGTCGCCATGTTATTTCGAATTCCATAATTATCCCTATAGGTATAAGTTCGTGATTTGGATCGCTTTGACACTGTGCCTCCATTCTGAGGCCTACGCAGAGGCTGTGGCTGAGAGAATGGGGTCGACGGTTCCTCGGGGGTACATGTCTTATCGTCTGCGGACGACGATTGTCGGCTTGCGTTGCTGCTGTCATCCAATGAAATTTGAAATACCGTGTTTCCTTGAAAACTCATTCTTGTCGTGTGCGCACTACTTCTACGCGTGTTATATTTTGTGATGCTCCCACTACTTTTACTTGCAATTATCGACCCCTCGGCTTCGTCAACTTTTAATGAAGGTACATCCAGCAAAGGGGTACCATTCAATGAGTTCCTGTTTTCAATAACGTCCCAACGGGGTGAACCGGGATACCCACCGTTCTGATTCTGAGCATAGCCATTCGGTTTTTGCTCGTTGATAACAATGGGTATATCAGCAGATTTAGTGGCTCTTGCCTCCATTGGTAACGCTGTCAAGTATAGTGGGGTAAAATGACGTAGTTGTATTACCTGCTGCCCGTTGTGGTATTCCTTTATGAAACCCTCATTTGCACCGCATGATTTGGAGCAGGGATGCGCTTCAATAAAAAAAGAAGAATATACATTTCGTTTTAGATCACAACCATGCGTTCTTCGATTATTATTTACTTAATTGATTTCAATTATGTAGCCCGTTCAGTTAGATTCACTGGTTTGTTAGATTCACTTAGCCATGCTGATATTATGTAGGGTAAAATCACAGTGGATTAATTGGATGGCCCAATTAGACTGCACGTTTGCACGTTTAGTGCGATATGAGGGACCAACTGTGAAAGAATTGCTTATCCTGTTTCTGACATTTTTCAGTGACACTAGCTCTAATCGGCCTCGTGATTGGATTATCTACGTTCACATCATGTTATTTTATACCTCCAAGTTTACACCAAGCTAGCTGGTGTGAACGTAGCTTAAGCCGTTGGCTTCGTGTGTACATTAGCCATGAACACGAAAATGACCCTAGTAGGCCTATTCTATTCTAAAGAAGAAGGGTTGACTTCCAGTGTAACCCATGCTAGTCGATGTACTGCCACGTTTCTGGTTTATTTCAACAAGTTTTATATACAACTTCACAGTTGTAATTTTACATACATGCCTATGATCATTTTGACCTGTAGGGCTAATATACAATAGGTCGAATCTGCCATGATTTCGATTCATGATCTGCAATATTATGCACTTCAAGCGAAACAAGTTGACTGACGTGCATTTAAGTTGTTATTAATACGTTATATTAAGTTATTCTGATGTGCATTACATAAATCATATCATAACCGATGGAACTCGCATACTGTTGGCTTACATAAGTGCGGCTGTTGTTGTAAACAATGATCGGTTGTAGGCCTAACAAAATTACAGGGAGGGAGGAAACTGGATTCTTGGACAAGGTATCTAACTGCAGATGTGCCGGTGGAATGTTAATACAAAGAAACATACTTACCATAGGTGTACTCCTTTGTTCTGCCGAATTTATCTCTATAAGGCACGTTGCATATTGTAATTGGAAAATAAACTTCTAACTCGGACTTATCATCTACAAATAAGGCAACCTGACCGTGTAGAAAGAAAAGAAAAATAAAAAAGGATTAGTAACGCTATTTCGCGTGCATAATGCGCCAATGTTAAAAATTATAATTATTACCGTATTCTATTGGTTGCCCAGCAATGGGTGCTTTGAAATAAATATTAGGCATTATTAGTGATTCTTCGATGGTCTCACATCAATTAAAAAGAAATAATAACTAATTGAAAAGAAATCATAATAAAAAGAGGAAAACGTTTAATGTGTACGTTTTCCAGACGGCGAGGCATTATCACTCATCGGTGCAGATATAAGGAAATACTTGACGAGGGCCACTAGACTCATCTTCAGTCTGAAGCAAATGAGAGTGTTCCACCCGGGTGGGACGCTAGTCCACTGCAGGTTACCCCTGCAATTTTCTGGTACCCACTGATACAGCTGGGAAGATAGTGCTTTGCTCAAGGACACAAACGAAATGCCCAGCGAAGAATTGAAATCCCGACCTGAGGTTGGGAATCCAAACCATTCCCCACTGCGCCAAACTGCTTCCACTCTCTCTGTGTAGCTATCCAATAAGTTAAATACTGGAATCCGCCTTGATTTAGATTTTACCAACTCATTTTAACAATCAGTCTTATCATGGAAGATGGTTTGCATCTTTCCTTCCTGATTCGACAACCTCTCGCCACGGCATCTTTATACGGGGCTCCTGATAATTATAAATATGATAATACCCTTTATTCTTCAATTTTTTAAGTAATTATCTGAAAAGATAATGAGCGATTGTTGTAGAAATAAAAACATTAAGATGAAGTTTGGTTATTAACGTCGGAATATTGAAATTAAGCTACATAATTTCAGTTTTCCGTAATTATGCTTTATCACTTTTTAATTTGAATAATGAGAACTGTGATTGGGCACACACTTTTTGCAAAAGTGGTTATCCACTACTTGGCTCGAAAAAAAAAAAAAAAAACAACAACTAAAGTCATAATTAGTCGCAGTACGTAGTTGTTTTAAAACAATTGCGGATCCCCCTAATATTCTCCTTCACATAGGTATTTACATTGTTTCTTCTTGTGTTTTTCCCCTTACCTTTCTTCTTTTTTCCCACCTAGTTAGCGTTAGCGTTCATTTCCAGCGACAATAAAGAATGTGTATTTCAAAACGATCTAACATTTTCCTTCACATTAATCGATTATTTAACGGAGACATCAAGTCATTAAATTTTGTTCCAAGGTCATTTTTCTTATCCCAAGTCATCTGCTCGCGCTTTCATCGTGTAAGTCACGCCAAGACATGTATCCATTTATTTAGTCCAAGCCATTCATGATAATTACCAATTACTTATTCGTGATGTTGCATGTTAGACTTAACACTCTGCTACTACTACGCTTTACAGATTTTAATCGCTTAAAATGCAAATATTTTTGTCTTTTCTTAAAATCTTGAAAATTAAAACGCAGTATGTGATGTAGGATATTGGTATAGAATTAAAATGTATAACGCAGTTGTTTGCCAATTACCAGGCGTACATAGTGCTATTC